CCCCGCGGTGCCCGCGGTTGTCTCCCTTCTCCCGCAAGCGGTGCTTACTGACGTGGTGTTTACGAATCTCTCTGCTCCTCCTCCAGCTTCGTGGGCCACGCTTTCCGAGACGGTGGTTGCCAGGTGTGTGTCTTATCTGTATGTTATGTTGGGAAGTTGTAGTCTAGACGGAAGATTGAGGGTTACTTGGTTTGTCCGGTGTTCTATTATGGCACCCTTATGTGGTTGCGGAGCAAGCGCGTCTCGGGGTGTGAATATTTTTGTCATCAACTTATTTTTTGTGTGATGTATGGGGGCATGTGCGGCGCGGGAGAACATATTTACCTTGTTGTGTAATGGCATGTCGTTAAATGTGATGAGGGCACGGGAAGAACATTATCTCATTATTACCCCCTGAAATGGCCGCCGATAGAGACGTTGTGGTTGGGGTTTCATCACTGACATGTGGGTGTGTGTTAAATGCAGTGGGTATGGTCGCCTCTCTCGCCCGTGTGTCGGGAGAAGGTATAGCTGCCCAAAATAGGAAATTGAGGCTCGGCCCGAATTTGACGCTCTCATCTCCGGGCCCGTTCTGTAGTCTAGTACAACCGCCAAACAAAGATCGTTCGTGTACCCGTGCATTGTTCCTGGAGAAAAACACCGCGAGTTGCGAGTGAAGGGTGTGCGACCTGTGAAACCTTGAAACGTGAAACAGCGAAAGCGATCACTTCTGTACGAGACCCACAGGTAGGTCATGTATCACTGGATCCTGGTCTGTGATGAGTAGACTAGTGATAAAAAAAAAAAACGACTAGAGGACGTGACTGACCTGTCAAAACCGGACCAATCAATAACGCGCAGCCCGAAATCTTGCGAGCATTTTGTTGGGCGGCAGTTCTGATGTGCAGCACACCATCACCACGCGTCGTTGTGAGAGGGGACTACAGCAGTAGTGTAGGTTGGCCGAGAAATGTGCCATGGGCACACGGATCTTGGCAGTCTTGTTCTTGTACGGGAGCACTCCTGAATTGCTGGTCGCGGCGTCATGCAAGGACGGTGAGTTTGAAGGTACAGAGCAAGAGTGTAGACTAATGGTTGTGCTTTACCCGCCAGAAAGATTTGTTGTTGTTGTTGTTGTTGTTGTTGTTGTTGTTGTTGTTGTATTTCGTGTCAGTTGCTAACCCCAAATCTAGCAAAGACTCGGTCCGTGGTCACAAAAATGAATGGAGGATGCAGAACCGGAGGATGCGGAAATATGGCTTGTGGAGATGAGGCGACACGATACTCTACAACGTGTGCGTGCGTATTTGGCGCGGATCCTGAACATCAGCAGTTGGTTTCGAAACGCTGATAATACCAGTCCCGCAACCACCGCAGGTGACACAATATACCACACCCCCTGGATCGATTTTCACAGCACCACCTCACTTCACAAAGAAGAGGACGAATTAGCCAAGCGATACGTTTCCGGAAAGCTCTTGACAAGACGGTTCTAATGCCGCCGTTTGCGGCACCGCCGCCACTCAGTTTGCTGCTGTGGAGTGTCGAGCTTTGGAAATCGGTCCAGGGAGTGTGATATCTTGTGTCGGGTCACCTACAGCAGTAACATCCGTGGACCGTTGCTCGATATCATCCGCCATGAAGCTGGGAAAGCCCCAAAAATACAAAAACAACCACTGCTGTCAGTACCACGCGCTGTCTACCCACAGACTTCTATAACTCTAATTGAAGCTGCGTTGATTTTCATCGGAGGCTGTCAGATATTGGTAGGAAGTCTGGCAGCACATCCAAGCCTCGTAGAAAGTGGCACCTATGGAAGTTGTGGAAGTTCCATCACGTCTACGAACGCTTCGTGGAACTTGTGGAAGCCTTCGTGATTTCCACGAGCTTCCACCGAGCCCCCATTGCTTCCGTGGAAACTCCCCTTCCCTCCGTGGAAGTAACCACCAAAAAGTAACGGTGGAGCAGACCCACACGCGACCACGGGGAGGATTTCGATCGAAGGGACATAGTTTTCAGTGGGGAGCCGGAGATGAAACAAAAGTTTGTTTCCGATTGAGGTTCAAACAATATTTCATTTCGTCACTCTCGTGGAGTACAGGGCAGTCCCTAGATACCTCCTAGAGCTTTGTGCAGCATCCTCGACAGAGCTGTTTCTTGGCCCAACTTTCATATTTTTCATCGATGTTTGAGCTTGTTTTTCTTAACGTTCTGTGGAACACGTCCACCCTCTCAACTCCGTACGTACCGAGGAAGGCCGACAGAACGAAGAACGCTTAAAAACAAAGACGGCACGGCCAGGTTCGCTGGCATTCTTGCGAGGTACATAGTCTACTCTTTTCCACGACGAACATAAAAGGCTTATCAGGGAGCTTTTATGGGGGATTCCACCAGAAAGGGGCATTGCATAAATCCAATCAACATTTTCACATACGTCCACCAGAAAGGAGAATAGTGTACCGGTAGCAGCGTACCCCCCCTGAGGCGCAATGACTACCAAACAAAGGCACATTTTTGAGAAAAGCTCACAGCAGCCACGACACCTCAGTAAAGTCAGATGTTGGCGTTATCGTCACCAGTTTTCGTCATGCGCGCTAGCAGTTTCGCCACCGATGGCCCGGCCCGTACCTATGAGGCTGCAATGAGGCCTTTGGGAAAGAGGTGTTTCGCCGGGAACATCACGAAGTCAATGGAAGCGTTGACAAGCGAAGAGAGATGCATAATCCAACCGATTTTCCCACTTGTTGTCAATCCACAGCCCCGCACGCTGATTGGTGTGTTCGGTCCCGCTTACAAGGTTATCCAGCGGACTACTCTCCACGAGGATGCTTCGCTGACTTGACCATCGATAGGATTATGCCTAAGATCCGGCTAGTACATCTCCAGGAGATGACCCAGCAAGGGCCTATGTCTGCCGAGGTACGCCAATGATGAGACTGTCCAGTGCGTTTCCTGAAGCACGTGTGGTTTTCTCTTTTGCCAGGGCCGTTGGGCGGACTGAAATTTCGTGGAAATACATCCGTCACGGGAAGTTATGCCGCACACGTGTACAACGCACGTGTGATACTTGTAGCCCCTGCTTTCATTCCCCCCCAACAAACAGTTAGAAAATCAGCATCGATGTGCTGCACAAGCTCGATCACCACGCATTTCACGCTCGTAATCTCACGTATTTTCTCTCCACCCGTGTCACGATTTCGCGCTGTCAGACTTGCTACTATATCTGCGACGACGGGCTTAACACGCATTTCGGCACGGAGTACTCGACGGAGGTTCGTAACCTACTTGATAGCGGCTTGAAATCGTGCTTCGAGCACGGGACTGCAACCTCGTGCGTGTTCCGAATGTTGCACTGTTTGACGTTTC